CAGGCGGACTGGGGGCTATAGGGAGGGCTGGGGCAGGGAGGGGCTGTCTGCACCCAGGACTTGGCCACACCTGCAATACACTAGGCTAGGTGGGTTCAAGGTAGGACGTGCCCAAGCCATGCACTGACTGCACATGGGTGAGTGCCCCAGACAGGAACTCCAGAGAGGCAGGGAGTGCACGTAAGAGTGGAACGTCACTGACAGCCTGCTTGGAAATGCCGGGAACACTCAACTGACTGGTGCATAGAAAAGTGTAAACATGACTGCAGCACCGGGTACCTCGCCTGCCTGCACAGCCAGCCTGATGCTGCTGACCTGGCTCAGCTCTGGTCCCACAATGATGATGCTCTAACCCGTCCTCATCCTCACATATCACCTCACCAGTCCCCATCACAGGACGTTCTGACACATGTCTTCTCAAGACGTACCTCCCCCACCTTACCGAGTCCTCCCCAGAGGGCAGACACACCTTCGCCTCCCACAGCAAAGAGAGTTGTCCCCACAGGGCAGATGTGCCCTCAGCACCCACGTCCCTGAGATCCCATCCCCACAAAGCCTACGGTGACCTGTCGACACCATCTTTACCCATGGCCTCAGGAGCTTGAGGCAGAAGGACGCCTGGCCATGGATGTTAAGGTATGAACGAGGCCAGTGCAAAGGCACCTGACAAACTACTTTCTTTCTAAAGCTGCTCTTCTGTGACTGGATGCCATGGGGTGCCCAAGTGGGCTGTCTCCAGGCCACTGTGTCTGTCCTGTGGGCAGCCCTGCGGGGTCACGTGGATGGCAGGAATGTTGCTGCCCCTCCGAAGGTGACTGTAACAGGCCTGTGCCCAAGGAGCGCACGAGGTTTTGTTTTTTCCTTTGTGTTGTTTTGGTTTTCGGAGGCAGCAGACATGATACTGAAAACACTGGAGCGGTTATGTGCTCACAGCTGTTGCTGGTGTGTGTGACTCTTAACGGTGCTAGTGAAGCTGGGAGCGGGAAAGGTCCCGGCGGGCAGCACACTCCGAAGTGAGTGGCGGCTCAGTCTCAGAAGTGATGTTACAAAAGTTTCATTTTACTCTCTGCGTTTTCTCACATGTGTACAGCAGAATGTGACCTGTGGTTAGAGCCGGAGCTGGGTTACCCAGGAGCACCAGCAGTCAGAGGTAAGAGCCTCTATTACTGTGCCACAGCAGCTGGGCATAGGCCTATCATAAGGAGGTGGACGTTTCTCATTCTCTGATTCAGTTAACCCCAGAGTATACCACCTGAACACCACAGAAGTTCTATAGGCCAGATGAGGCCAAGAGACCTCAAGCCCTTTGCCGCGATATTAACTTTCCTGCACAGAGAAACCCCGGGCCGCTGGGAACCAGACAGAGGCTCGCGCACACGCTCACGGCTGGTCCTCACTGATGGGGCCAATGCGTTTCAGCGTCTCGCTCACTGACTGCTTGCTAACTCAACCAAGCCTTAAGCTGTGACTCTACTGTCCAGAGAGCACCAGGGTGCTTCTCTGGGGTCGTTCAGCACAGCAGCCGACCTCCCGACATGTTGCACCTGCTAGGGAGTTGTGTCCCCAGGGCAGACAGTGGTCTGCACATGGAGGCTCTGGGAAGACTTGCCCAAGGAACGGGCATATACATTCTCTTAAACTGACAGATCTCAGCATGAACATCCCAAAGTGAACCCCCTACTGCTCAGGAAGGATGACCCGCTTGCCTTCTAAACATGCCCTGACCTGTCCTGATGCTTGCTGGAGTGTGACCCCCCAGTGTGTATGGAAAGGTGCCCACTCTGTGCATGGGAAAGAGGTCCACCTCTCAATGCTCAGGTAAACCCCACAGAGAGAAAGTGCTTATTTTACAGATGAGGAAAACGGGGCCCGTGAAAGGATCTTCGTTACAAGAACAGCCGGGCCTCCAGGAAGGCAAAGAAAAACAAAGCCTTTCGGGAATGCCTGTGGTGTCGGCGTCAGGAGGGCCGTCCACGCTTAGGGGGCTCACCGTGGTGATGTAGCAGGAGTGGAACTCCGACGCCTCCTTCAGGAAGGACAGGCCTGGGTGGGTGTTCACCACATCCTATACCCACAGGGAGAAGACACGAGCACTGAGGATGCGCAGCTCACCCGAGCTGCACATGTGAGACCACCCACCCTCAAGGGCTGTGCGAGAGAAGCTATGTTCACAGAACAAAGTCACACGGTTCTGTACGTGAAGTAGCATGACGACACCCACACGCTGGAAATGCACAGGAAGCTTCAGTTTAAATCAGAGTATCAATATATAACCTTTCCAGATGAAGAGTATCTTGTCAAGTTTGAAAACACAAAGACCAACGTGACGTCTGACGGAAGTAAAGAGCTACAACAGCACATGCTGTGAATTGCTTCTACTCAAGTGCACTCACTGGTAGTTCACATAACTCAGGACGTTTCCAAAACAGCTAGTAACGTTCATTCACCTGTGAACCACCTTTACCAGGAGTGTAATGCACTGAACTATTCTAAAAGGAACTGGAATAGGGTCTGGAAGACCAGCATTCTGCAACGCTGTCACCTGTTTCATGTGGAGAATGATGTGCCCAATGAATGTACAGCCCTCAACTCGGTGGCTGCACGCTCAGCAGGTTTACCACACTGCAAGTGCTACTGCGCCTGCTGTCAGCACCTGCTCGAGGTCGCCGCTGACTGCGTAAGGCTGGTGGGAGGCAGCACCCGAGGTAGACACCGGCCTCCAAGCCAGTGTGTGTTGCACACAGGCACTCACCTGTAAAAAGGGGACGAAGTCTTCCTGCACCAGGTAGTTGCAGCCAGGATTCATGAGCAGGTGGACAAACTTGGCAGCGTCGTCATGACAGGTCTGGAGGATTCTAGAACGACACGAGGGGACTTTTGAACTGTCCTCACACACACGGGCGTCCACATGGCAGAAAGACAGAGCATGAACTATGAGCAAACACATCAGAACGCCCAGGCCAGGGATGCGCGTCTGGAGTGTCAGTGTCCTTCCCTTGCCAATGTGGCCACAGGAGGACAAGCCCAGCCACTGGCCACAAGGACCCGGGGATGCCCCTGACCCTCTGCCTGGGCCCTGGACTCACTTTCTCCACATGGCGACAAACTTGTGGACGGACACACAGCCTGTGCGCTCCCCACCAGCACCACAGAAGAGTGGCCCCTTCCAGTAGAGTGGACAGCCGCAGGCCTGCACGCAAGAGGGCAGAGAGCAGTCAGTGAGTTCCAGACACTCCACTGCCCCCCGCTCCACATGGGGAGCTTGGACAGAGTGAATCGCTGCAGCAGAAAGACAAACTGCGACCTTCAACCCGCAGCACCATGGAGGCAAGCGCCACTGTGTCCACGAAACACAACGGTCCGGGGCGTGTGCTTAGCAGCTGAGGATCGGGTGGCTCAGGAGCAGAGTGCACAGGGACCAGAGTCAGGATTCAACACCTACAAAAGAAGGTAACTGGCAGAGCCTCAGTCTGGGAATCAAGCAGCAAAGTTCCAGTAACCCAGGAGTGAAAGAATAAATGACTCTGTGACTTAGGAAATGATTTGAAGGCAATGATACTGAAAACATCACACGTCAAAACCCATGGCTTGCACCTAAGCCAATGAGAGCGGCAGATTTACAGCTTTAAATACGTATGATGGAAAGAAGACTGAGGATCAGTGACCTGGGCTTCCATCTCAAAGAGGAAGGAAGGAAACTTTGAAGGGCAGTTAAGAAAGGGAAAATATAAACGTTTAACAGAAAATCAATAAAATCGAACCTCAATGATTTGAAAAGATTTTTTAAAATTAACCCTTAGCAAAAGTCTTCAAGAACAAAAGAAAAAAAAAAACATAAATTACCAATGTCAGGTGACACTACAGACCCCATAAACAATGGAGAGACAGTCAGTGGGTATTCGTGCTTAACTCTATGCCAATAGATTGGACAACTCTGGTGAAACCGACAAATTCCTTGCTTAACGCTCCTAACCAAAATTTACATAAGAATAGAAAACCTGAACAGTCCTATATTTCTTCAAGAAATTGAATCCCAAAATAAAAACTTTCCCACCAAGAATACTCCAGACCCAGAAGGCTTCACTGGTGAATTCTACCAAACATTTCAGGAAACAATCACATACAAACTCTTCCAGAGAATAAAAATAAGAAACACTTCCAAATTCTTGGTATGAAACCAGCAAAACCTGGATACCAAAACCTGTCAAAGACACAAGGAAAATTATAGGCCTATTACCTCTCATGAACACAGATGCAAAAAATCCTACACAAAATGCACATTAGCAAATTGAATTCAGCAATATTAAAGAATTCAAAATAATAATAATAATAAATAGACTAGGAATAAAAAGGAAACACCTTTATTCTAACAAAGGGTGTGATGGTCTGAATGTTTGTGTCCCCCCAAATTCCTATGTTGAAATTCTCACCCCCAAGGGGATGGTGTTAGGAGGTGGGGCCTTTGGGAGGTGATGAGGTCATGAGGGTGGAGCCTCATGAATGGGATTAGTGTCCTTATAAGAGAGACCTCAGAGAGCACCCTCACCCCTTCCACCATGTGAGCACACAGCAAGAAGGTGCCGTCTATGGACCAGGAAGCAGGTCCTCACCAGACACTGACTCTGCCACACCTTGATCTTGGACTTCCAGCCTCCAGAGCTGATAGAAACACATGCCTGTTGTTTATAAGCCACCCTATCTATGGTTTTCTTTCATAGCAGCTGAACAAATTAAGATACAGAGTATCTACAAACACCGT